CCTGGAGGATTGGAAATGTTTGTGTTAGCAAAAGATCATTTGATCAGACAGAAGTGCTGAAACAGAAAATTGAGTGCATTTCTTAGAGATGGTTTCATTCTTGTGCGTAAATTGGCAAACAGGAAACGAAGGAAAAGGGAGGTGATAAGATTCTTTCTAAAGGCCCGGGCTGCTTCGTGTGATATTTACCTGTGCCCTGGTGATCGCACTGTTTAGGTTTTCTGCAGGAAAACGCAGCTTTTCTTCCACCTGGACAGCAAAAGTGTAGATGCTCTTTGTCTCATAATCCAAAACCTAGACAAATATAAAAAAAGAGGTAAGGAAACTCCGTTAGTACAGTTTTTTTTCCTCTCCCTACTTCTCTTTATTGACAATTATATGTCATATCTGTTATTTCTTTATTTTTCTTTTTTCTTTCTTTATTTTTTCTTTATTTTGTATTATTTTTTAATTTATTTATTTTTTATTATTTTTTTATTATTTTTATTTCTGTTATTATTTCTGTTATATCTGTTATTTCTAACAACTGAAAGTCTTCTGACCTCATTTCTCCTGAGCCTTTAGAGTAGAGGGGCTCCATATTGGGATTCATGCTCGAGAGTGTGCATACGACACATTGCATTTGCACCTTGGACTGTTTTGGGGCCTAAATGGATCTCTTATGTCCGTCCTCAGAGAATTTGACCCTCAATCTGTTCACCACGGATAACTAACTGATTCCAGGTGTAAAAAGGCTCCAGAGTCACATGTCAACCTGGCGGACATCATGCTCAGGTTTCATACTGTCCCAGAAGAATTAGTTTAGATTGGGGAAAAAAGAGTACTAAGTTGTTTTCTTTTTCATTCAATGCTATCCAGCATGATCCAGAATGAGCATTTTTCTTTAATATCATGCCAACATTTTTTTTTTAACAAAGAGCGAGGGAGAGTTTGGGGAAAAGAATGGAAGAAAAGATGGAAAAACAACCCAAAACACTTGGAATCATGGTTTCATGGTGAAGAAGGGAGGTGCTCATTTTATGCTCTACTTAAGAGACCCTGGTTGTGGGATGTTATTTCATTTCTGAAAACAGCAGCATTATCCTTTTTTACTTTAATGTTTTGTTAGATCTGATTTGGTTTGAGGCCAAAATTCAGCAGCTTTTCCCAAAGCAGTATTCAGTCAATCACAGAACAAACAGCTAAAGCTAAAACGTGCTTGTTATAATCTTCCTTTCTTATTTGGGGTTTTTCTAATAAAAACAAATATGATTTAAAACAAGCACCAAAGAAACCTCCAACTTCATTAATGATTAATTCAGTCTGGGTGGTACAAAATAAAGATAAAGTCAATTTGCTGGGATAAAATTATTTTGATTTTGTGTTTCAGTTTGCCAGACTGAAAATGATAATGGGCATAGTTACATGTTCTTCTGTTCTCTTTTTTGAATAACTGTGCAAACTCTAGAGGAACTTCGGTTTTCCCCTGCATTCCAACAGAAAACTGAATGAGTTAGCATGTTCTTCATCACAGGACGGGACACCACAGGTAGGCGGGAGTATTCCGCTAACTGGATTATTCACGATAACAGGGATGCTCAGTCGCAGGGTGTCAAAGGCATTTGTAAACAGCTTAGCACGAATAAAACCTCAACCGCCGTGTGGCCGATAGCCGGCTTATTCTGCCCGTTTTAACGCGGCCAGGGAGAGAGATGAGAGGGGAGAGTCGAGGGGAGAGAGGACTGGATGGATTCTAGGCCAGCATGGGTGCAAGTTATTACTGAGCT